AAAGACTATTTTTAGCCAAGCAGCGCGGAGAGCCGCGTCAGAAACGTGCCGCGGCTGGCTGATAAACACAAGCACTGACTAGAGCGGCCGCGATCAGCTCTGGTTCCCATGGAGCCGTAATGCGCCGCAGACGTGTGCAGTAAGGCGCAGATCAGCTCTAACGTCACTGAATATGCTGTTAAAAATTAACCATCCATTCATCATATCATCATGCAAAACACACGACAAATAGCAAATTTTTCATTGTTTCTCGAAACGTCATAGCATTTCCACACCAACGATGACATGACTGCGGCGACAAATCATTTATGTCCCCACACATCATGTGCGTCGTCATGCGTTGACGTCATCAAATTGCGATCGGTTCGTGAGATCGGCCAAGTTAGTGAGTACCGATCGAGTCATAAAATGTGATTATCGGCCGATACCGATCTCCAGCCGATTGATCGGAGCATCCCTACCCTGAAATGAAAGTAAAGGCGCATAACATGGGCTTCTGGGGTGCAGTATATTGTGGCTATCTGAGGAGGACAGAATATGAATCATGTGTCCTAACAACTGCAGATTAGATATCCCCATTACACAATTCCTTATGCATAAGGAATTAGAAACAGCAGGAATTACTGAAAGGGAAAAATTTTCCCATCAGGTCCCTTCCATGCTCCACCTATAAACCGACTAATTGCCTTGGCAAAAGCAGGACTCGAACCGCGGGTGATAGGCAGGGAATTCTCACAGTGACCGCAACACGCAGCATGTATTCAGCTCCCGTGGGAGCTAAACACGGTCCGTTCAAGCGCTAGATTCCCTCAGAAATCAAGCAAGAACAGAAACCACTGCCGCAAATGCGTCGCTATGAGCTTGTTCAACTCCCATGAGAGGTGAACACACTCATGCAAATGCTGTCTACAATCTCGGGTAAATGATGAAGCACTCACCTCCCCTCTCAGTAGTCCTGCGAATGCATCACAGTGACTACAACGCGCCTCCTCGTGAGTCAAACATGTTTAATTCACACTTATCCACAAAGAAATAAGCTCAATGAGTGCAATGAGCACATTCAACTCCCTCGAGAGCTAAATGCGCTTGCTTCTCACCCACACACACAAACACATGAGTCGTGTGAAACCGCAGGTGTCAGAGCAAAGCCTCTGATGAGAGAACATGCACTCCTAGTCATGCTTAGCTGCTAACATAAACAAATGGCAGTGAAGACGATGATAGATGATAGATGACAGAAGATAGAAGAGGATGATGTATTCTCCCGGTGCCCTTTTATACCGTGGTCGCACCGGTAGTGATGTCACAACAGGCTGTTGCCGGCCAATGTTATTGTCGTGTTTAGACATGTGCTTCAGACACTGGTCACGCCGAAGGCGTTCCCCATAGCGACCTCTAGAGGATGCAGTTCAAGTTCCCTCGAAAGGGATCATACTCCAAACTTTTATACAATATTGTATACAATTTTATTTTAAAATATTGTTATATTTAATTTTTTTGTTTACTATTTATTTATAAAATAATTGTAACTTCTATGGCTTTTGAGCTACAGTAGATCTATTAAATTTGGCACAGACCTACAGCTTGTTCAGAACTATTTGTAACCTTTGAGCAATGATTTGCCAATGCCAAAGTTTATGACAAACTTACATTACAAATTAAGAGAGCCACAAATTAAAGAAGCTTGTCTATGAAAACCCTTGTATACACTTGTATATATATATAGAGAGAGAGAGAGAGAGAGAGAGACATACACATACATATGTATATAACCACGTATAACCTTAAATGTATAGCCATATGTAACCATATTTTGTATAACCATAAATGTATAAATGACTATTAATAGCATGAACCATAAATATTGTCAAAATTAAAAGTGGCAACTATAGATAAGAGACACAGTGACTTTCTGTAACTGACTACACAAAATCTCTGAGGTTGGTATTTCTCATGTCTTGTTACTCTTCATAGTAAAAAGTGCACACTAAAGATATAGAGACAGTGGTATGTGGGTATATGTGTGTGCGATATTTGAGTCTCTCTTGGTACCACCTTCCTGATATGACTTCGGGATAGTTTTGTTATAAACTTTACTTTTCTAGTTTCATGTTATGTTACTGCTATAATAATCCACTCATTTGTCTTATCTGTTCACACAGGTAAAAGAGGACTGGAAGTATGTTGCTATGGTAATAGACAGAATCTTCCTATGGATGTTCATCATAGTTTGTTTGCTGGGCACAATCGGACTGTTTCTCCCACCCTGGCTCGCAGGCATGTACTAGAAAACACACTATTGAGTACATTATATGAACAGTAAGGACTTCTAACTTATAGGCTTCCATGGGAAGAACCAGCATGGGGACACAACACCCCTTCTAGCAGGGAACATCACACAGTAAGTGCTGAATTTTCCCCTGCATGAGGTCAGATGCATGTTTGACATCAGGAATGTGGCATCAAATACCTGAATTTTTTTTTATGTCAGATATTGAGAGAGCCACAAATTAAAGAAGCTTGTCTATGAAAACACTTGTATTTGAATGTATAACCTTGAATATTATTGTCAAAATTAAAAATTAAGTGCCAACTGGAAGAGACTCAGTGGCTTACTGTAACTGTTTACACAAATAAAATCACTGAGGCTGGTATTTACCATGTCTTGTTACTCTTCATATCAAGGAGTGCACATTAAAGAGATGAGACAAAGTGGTTTCATTTAATTTAATGTCATGTCATTACAAAGTGTGCATTTCTTCTGTAAAACACGAACAAGATATTTTCAGAAATGTTTTTTTTTTTTTATCATACAGTGGAAGTCACCAAAAATGTTTGGTTACCAACACTAACAAATTACTACTTTTATGTCCCACAGAAGAAAATAAGTAACAACACCTTTTAATGTTGTTTGCAAGCATAAAACGCATGTTTGTGCATTATGTGATTCGCTTGCATTGTTTTGGTCTACAATAGTGGTGGAAAGAGTAAATTGTACTTAAGTAAAAGTATTGCTACTTAATGAATAATTTACTTGTATGGGACATGCGCAGACATTTTGAGGGGCAGGGGCTCAAGTGGAAAAAAGGGCACTTTTTTATTTTAAATTTTTTTTCTAAAGAAAACGTTAAATATCGCCTATTAGGGGTGTGCGATATTGAAAAAATATATCTCAATATTTTCTGGGATTTTATGGATAACAATAATTAGATGATATTTTGCTGAGTGTGTTGTGCTGATATCTTAAGGACTGCCGTGGACAGCTGACTCCTAACCCACATGGTAACTCTCTCATGAATCATGGATGTTAGCAAGACAAATTAACTATAATTGCCTTTTGTTTTTTGGATAATTACGTGGCACGTGCCCCCTCAGATTTTTGAGCCAAATGGATTTTGAATGCAGCTTCCAAAATACAAAAAATAGCCGATTAATATTTTCTATATTTAATACGATCACACCGGCGTGATTAGAACGTTCAGTGCGTCATATCATCCAGTTACAAATGCATTAATATTGTTTTGATATTTTAAACATAAAACATTGAATACTGATATTTGAAATAAAAAAATAAAAAATTTAAAAAATATATTTAAATGTGAAATTAAAACTGACAGTAGGTGGCAGCAAGTCACTGTTAATAAGTGAGTCATTGCGATTGAATGGAATCATTTAAACGGCTGATTCATTCAGGAACAAAACAGCATCATGTTGCTCAGAGACACAAATTGGAATAGAGCAAAAACAGTCAATATTGTGTCTAAAACGTAAGACGCTTTGACTGATGAAACGTGGAAGACAATAAACACGCAATTGCAATGCAATGCTAATTGACATAGCTTGTATCACAGTATAGACTTTTATCAAATATATTTTCTGTCTCACTGTGATAAGAAGCAACAAGGAACCACAGAAGCTAACTGTTTCAAACACGACTGATGTTATATAGTAATTTTGGAGCAAAACATGATATTAGTCTTATAAATTGTCATGTTTGATGATATGTTAAGCAAACATACTACCTATCCCTCTTGCCAGGAGCAACTGTTTTATAACTAATTTTGAAAAGTACATTCACGTATAAGATTAGTTGTTTTTAAGAAGGGCAAAAGCAAAGAAGGGTAAGTGAGGGTTTAAAAGAAAAGAAAGGGTTTCAGTGTGAATTGAAATGTGCCAGTAAAAAATAATGTGGGGTGTGGGTAAGGTTGGGCATCGTTTGAATATGAATGATTCCGATTCTTGTCAATTCCTAATTTTGATTTCAATAAGGTAAAAAAATAATAATAATAATAAATAAATAAATAAAAAATCTTAGATATCATTCACATTTATTCCAACTCTTATTGCAAAATATTTCCTTGTTAGCTGAATACTATAATGAAAGTCAACAGGCTAAAGAACACTTTCACAAGGATGTGTGTGTAGCAGAGAAAACAGCCCGTGAGTCTTCTTGACTTGAATGGTTCAAATGTTTTAATTTTAATATGACTTTAAACCATTCTAGCACAAGAAGACTCATGCACTGTTTTCTGTACTGTCTGCAAACATATAGGGGCATAGCCATCACTTCCAACAAATTGACAGGCTTTATTTGTTTCTTATGTATTTTAATTGGATAAGAAATCAAATACACTGCTGAATGATAACCAATAATTTTTATTCTATAATATTTTTTCAGTATTTTCCTAATGACAATTTCAGAATTGGTTTATACAAACACATAATAAGGCAGAATAGGATACTGTATTAAATGTTATGTCAATTAGCACTGGATTATTCATATACTATATTTAGTTCCTCGAAATGACCTGAAATTACTTTTTTTAGCTACAGCAATAGTGGGATGCCTTTGTCCATATTAGAGATTTCCTGCATGTCATAAGTCATTATATATTACTTCTACTAGGCCGTTTTGGACTTTCTGCGCGAGAGCGCCCTCCGGCTGCGAGTATGAATGAAACATGCACTGAGAATGAAAATGAAAAATGAGTGTTCAGCGCTCCGTAATGTTCACATCGTATTGTTTTGGATATGAATAAATCTTCCAGTCATACATGCCCTGTCCACACGGAGACGCGTTTGTGCTGTATACGCATACATTTTGTATAGGCGTTTCGTCCACACGGTTCCGGCGTTTTGGGAGAGTGAAACCGATATTTTTTAAACCGGGTCACAGAGTGGACGCCCGTGCGTTTTCGTGTGGACAGCGAATCCGTATATTTTCTGAAACGATGACGTCATCAGCCCACGTCTCGCCCCTAGTCAGACACCACCACGTCACGTAACAGCAACAAAAACATGAACAAACACTTACTCGTTTTGTGTCTGTTTTGTGGTTTCGTGTGGACGCAGATATTTCTTGAGACGAGGGGGAAAAAAGATCAGATAGGGAAAGCTCGGCTTCGTGTGGACGTAGCCATAGACCAAGGGTGTAACTTTGGTTTGAGAAGTGGGGGGGACACAAAATGGGGGAAAATGTTTTCGATTTGAATCCCATTTCCTGCATGTACATACATTTAGGGACTATGGTGATACAAAATCCAGGAAATAATTAAGTTGATTAATGATCAATTCTGCCAAAAAGAATAGTAG